AGTACATTGTACTTAATTTTTTATGTAAGTACATAGTAGTTAAGGTCACTTAATATAAAGTGGGGCTGAAATTACATATAAAGAGGTACTTAAGCCCTACCTAAGTGGGAAAAAACACTCTTTTAAGTTTAACTAGCGGCATTTAATATGATCAATTTAAATTTAAACAATAATACATTTTCATTTAATTGCAATTTTTCCTGTAATAAGTACACCTTTTAAAAGTACACTACAGTGCACTTCTATTTCACAGGAAACAGTGTCTTAAAAACAACGGCTGTGGTGGGACTTAAAAAATGAAATAAAAAAGCGATATAATGGCCAAGTAAGTCTGTCTGAATGTGAATGACTAAAGCAGCAGTGCTTGAAAGGGTATAAAATTAATAGGTGAAATTAATAAATGTAACTTTTTCAAAAGGTTTTTTACCATCCAAGCAATCTAATAGATAAAATATGCTGTTAGCATGCTAAATAAAGGGACAGTTCATCCAGAAATGAAATTTCTGTCGTCATTTACTCACCCTCAGCACAGTATAGTTAATGAGGCTGTGCTTTAACCTGAACAAAAAAGGCTGGAGATGTAGGAGTTAGTTTACCATTAGGAGGTAGCCACTGGCGATACGGATCACACTGACATCAGAGAAGGACTTAAGGATGTCTTCCAGGGTGGTGGTGGTGAACGTGAGAACTTTCTGAGACGAATTTACTGACACACTCTGCTGGACAGCCTGGACAGGACAAACAGGACGGAAGAAAGAGGTAAAAAATGTTGTTTAGCTTTAAATCATTTTCTATCATTTTCTCACTGCTCATCTTTTCTTTGTTTTGTATTTTCCCTCAGGCCAATGAAACTAATTAAATAACGTGGAAATAACACAGTCCCACAAATGTTTCAGCAGCACAATTATCCAAGAAATGAATATCGCAGCCCCACCGCCCTAAAACCACACACACTCACATCCACAAATGCACACATGTTCAGCCCTGCACACACACGCACCAGAAGGAAACCCTATGCCAAGCGGAGGTCAGGGCTGACAAAACAGAGACCAGATGATGTCACACACAAGCCACCAATGGGACGGCAGCTGTGAAAGAGATTGTGTGCTGAGCGGGTTAATGTGTTCCAGACGGTCCTGTTAAACACGCACACACACACACA